GATGAAATTTATACTGAACTAATAGCGCAACGATTTGTTTAGCATTTAAAGGTATTTGTGGTAATTCAACATTTACTCTTCCAGCTCTTGGATCCAATAGTTTCTCTGTATCATGTTTCATTTGATTTTGAAGTAACTTTTCTTCTTCATCATTATCTTCCATTTCTCCATCTGACACTTCAACTTTTTCCATAGCATCAATGGAACCAGCAGGAAACCCAGCCTATGAATAAATTGACATTATCTGTTTGTCTTTTAAATAATTTAACATTAATACTCACAGATTTCCAAGCTTGAAATTTTTCCATGTAATCCATACCAATATCCGATTGCATGATTAAATATCTAAAGATATGTCTTGTAACATGTTTAATTTGTCTTTCATCATCCATGATTATTAAATATGAAACAAATGGTTTTATAAGTTCTGTGACTATATCTTCTGATATGACTCCATCACTGATCTACAAAGACAATACTCAATGTAAAATTCCAAGATTAAATTACAATAAGTACTCTTATGAATATTACTTTCACAAATAATATACCTTTGAAAGTTCTTCTAAAAACACTTCTGTTAAATGCATGCTAAAACCAAGACATGTCTTTGGGTCTACTAAAAGCGTTTCAAGTATTTCAGAAATGTCTTCTATGAATTCCATATCCCATGAACTTTGTTTACATTTTACAAAAGTTTGACGTATTATTCTTCTAACTAGCTGTAAACAAATATATATAAGAATATACAATTTCAAGATGTAACTATGTACAAATTTCACAAGTACAATACATTTTAATTCTTACCATAGAAAATTTGTCTAACCTATATTGATCTATACCAAACCATTCTGTACTTAACGTTTTTAAAGCACAGTAGGTATAAAGTACTACTACATCTTTAGCATTAAAACAATGTACAATTTTACTAATAGATTCTGCTACTTCTTCCTGAATTAAAGGTTTATCTGACATCCACATATAATAAAATAATCCTTTCCATAATCGCATAAAATCTGTGTCTGTAAATGCTAATAACGAAGTATGCTTTAAATGCTTTTGCAAAATAATTATTATAATTTTTATTAATGTTTATTAATGGTATTAATAAACTTACCAAAGGAACTGTTCGAACGAACTGTCAACCATTTCTTTAATTTTTTAAGTATAGTATCTCGAATACGTTTATCATTACTCGATAACAGACGAGCAAATTTAATTTCTTGAGCAATAATTACAGCTTTTTTATCTTTTTTCTTCACTTCGCTTATTGGTTTTTGTTGTTCTTTAATCTTCAACTTTCGTTGCATAGACTTTTGCAGCGGAGCACGTGTGCGCCGTTGAACTTTTTTAACCGCCATTCGTACGAATAACAATCCGTTTTAAATACGCTACTCTTGTTGACAATTTAATTTTGAGTTGTTCATTTACAATTCGTATCTTTTTTTGTATAAACACAAATCACAGTTACACGAGCTCCAAAATCCCATTTAACTTTCGTCGAGAACGTAAACCAAAGAGAGATGCAACTTGGTTTCGTTTACAGCAGTTTACAGTAACGTGAAGTCGTTCCCTGATGGTTCCTGAATTCATTGGTTCCAGTCCTACCAATATCCTACCAGCTATCTATAAAATACTGTTACCTACTTCTTGCTGCACGAATTAATAACGAATAAATGTGTTAATTAAGAAATTTTCGCCTTCCCCGACTCGGCGTTTATTTATTTGGAAGAAGAGAGGACTGCGTGTAAATCATTTTTAAATTAAACTACTCACATTGGTTATATATATATCGATTAGTGAAACACTTTTAATCAATTACGTTTATACTTTTAAACAGTTAAAACCTGGGCTTGAGAGTCATCCCCTATATTTCAACGAAATCGATATCTAAATGCGAAAAATTGACGTATAATTTTTCTCTTCGGAATGTAAAATAAATCGGATACTTTGTGAAATACGTCACTGTGCAATTGTGTTTAATAAATTCAGCAATAATGAATAAGGTATAATTCTTTCAAATATATATCGCACATTGCTTCTAACGGAGTTAAATATTTAATCACAAAGATTAAACGAATATCGCATTTTTTGTTGTATTTATCATTGCTATAATAAAACGATAAACATTTAATAAATGCATTTGTTTTAGATGTCGCGATATCCTTCAGACTGTAAAGTCTATGTAGGAGACTTAGGAAGCAGCGCGACAAAGCAGGAATTGGAGGATGCTTTCTCGTATTATGGACCACTGAGAAATGTATGGGTGGCTAGAAATCCACCTGGATTTGCTTTTGTGGAATTCGAGGATGCTAGGGATGCAGAAGATGCGGTAAGAGGACTCGATGGAAGGACTATATGCGGGAGACGAGCTCGTGTCGAACCATCCAATGGAAAAAGATTAAGAGACAGGGGTTATTCTAGAAGAGGCTTCGGAAGATTATTTCACCCTGAAGACAGATGTTACGAATGTGGCGAAAGAGGTCATTATGCTAGAGATTGCGTTCGTCACAGAAGTTCTCGTAGAAAACGGTAAGTATACGATACATGTATTTTTTTTAGATATTTTATGGCGTGCAAAAACATATCAGACAAGTAAGCAAGAAATATATGACATATATTGTATATTAATCCGATTTAAGAAACGTATGCTTAAATGTGCAATGTGACTAACATTTATGATAAGTTTCACGTAAGGCTCAAATTTGAAAAGTAAGCAGAACATTTTATAATACGAATACATTTAATAGCATAGCTTTGTTAATGCGATGTAAATTATTTATTAAATTACACAAAGATTAGTGTCAATTTAAGTAACACATATGAAGAAACTTATGTATATATCATAGTATATAGAAGTTTTTCATAATACATAAGAAGATCCTATACTCTAAAAAAAATTGGTTAAAATACCAAGAATGATACCGATGTAATACTGCCCATTATTTATAGGAGATGCGGCTGAACAGGCATACGCATGAGAAATGCATTGCTACCGAGATTCTCGCGAGATTCGCCTTGGGTTCACTTTGTGACACTGCGTAGTTACAGCGTAGAGCACCCACGTACTTCGGGTTTCCTTCTACATTCTACGAGCAAAAAAGGGAAACAGGGCCGATGGAGTGGCTAGTTCTGCGCACTGCGATACTTCCAATGAGCATTGACATCACCCTAAACTGAAAGTTTTTGCACGTCAGCACTTGCGGTACCCTTGATGTTCTTCACTCGTGTTACCGTTTCTACCTAATTGCCATGATAGACCTACTGGTCGTCGAGAAACAAAGTTTGAGTCATCTTCATCTAGCCACTCTTCGTCCGTACATCTGACCTCCGCGTGATTTCATCTGCATAAGTGCTCATCCGTTCTCCCCTTCCTGGCATTACCATTGCATACTCTACAACTGTCTGCTATAAGCAACTTCAAAAGACGGTATATAAGTAGAACAATCAAATATATATACTGAACAGAAATGAATATAATTGTTTCTAAAGTTAATATTAGAAAAAAAGTTCGCATTTATATATATATACATGTATATATGTGTATACATATATATATACATATAATATAATTGGCATTTAAGCAAAGGGAAATAAGTAAATGGAAAGCAGTGTAGGTAGCAAGTAAATTACGAAATTAGAATAAATTCTTATACCAGCAAATATTATAATATTAAATATGAAGTAAATTATTAAATTTTTCCTGAATACTTGTCACATTTTTGCAAGCCCATTGTCGTACGAATTATTTGTGAAACTTTACGAAATGTATTCTATATTACACATTCTTAAAACAAACAGGAAACTTTACGTAATAATATTAACATAAAATAACATTTTTTTAAATAATAAAAGAGTAGTAAAACTTAAATTTGTAGGCACTTTGAATATAATCGTCGCCCTAATGTAATATTCATTATAGATCCCACTCCAGGTCTTATTCACGATCAAGATCGCAATCAAAATCACGGTCTCGTTCACGTTCTCGATCAAGATCAAGGAGCAAGCATTCAAGATCTTCATCCCGTAGCCGTTCTCGCAGTAGAAGCGGGTATAACAAAGAAAAGCTTCGTAATAAACGGAGATCTGGTTCCAAAGATCGCAGTCCACGCAAGACAAGATCTAAATCTGTTTCTAGATCCCGCAGCAGATAAAATGGTGTGTATAAAGATGATGGCTATTTTGATTACTAACTTGTAGTAATTCAATTGACTCTTATTATTTTAAATTTCAGTGAACACATTTGATGGAAGTACAAGATGCAGTTTTCAGAAGCTAATAAAATAAAGCTATAAGAATTATGTCACCCTTAGAAGTATAATTTTCTATGATTTTTTTTATGTTACATCAAAGTGCATTTTCTTCTTAGCAAATCACATATGAAATTTAGAAAAAGAAGAATGTTCGTTTTATTAATTTCAAATTTGTTATATTTTTGTTCGTATTGTATAAATACAATAATCCTGATACACTGTATCGTCCAACTATGTTCATTCAAGTTCACATTTAATAAACAATTTTTTAATGTGTGTACTAATGTTTGTTATTATTTGAAATTTATATTATTTTTTAAAATAGAATTGACTTTTTCGCGCCCAAGTTTGTAGCGACAGTAGTTGCCACTATTTCCGCTAGATGGCGAGCTGCTTTGAAACTAGTGGCGCCATCGGTGGCAAAACGCTCAAGTTTGTAGTGAAAATAGTTGTCGGTATTTTTGTAAGATGACGCCACTGATATATTTTAATAAATTATTCTTTATTTTTCATAAATGCATAATTAATACGATTCTTTGCTTTATAACACTGCAGTATTCGTTTCAATGATCATTTTTATCATATTTATTTAATACAGCATAAATTATCGACCTTTTAGATAATGGCGCCATCTATCAGCAACTATGGAAACTGTTTTCGCTACAAACTTGGGCGTTTTGCCACAGATGGCGCCACTGGTACTAAACACGCTCACTGAGCGGCTTAGTGAGCGGCGGCCTTTCTGGATTGCCCCAATGAATTCCTTGGATGTACTACAGGATAGTTTGAAGAAGTGGGGTAAGGAGTAAGTGGGGAAGTTAAGAACAAGTTGAGAAAAAGGGAAGCATAGTGATCTGCAGCGACGCTTCGTAAGCAGATTCATTTGGTTTTCAGTCACGTATTCGTGATTCGTCGGTCCGTTTATGAGTAGTTGTGCACTCGACTCACGCGTAGACATTCATAATTCGTCCTCGCTGATATCTTGATCGTATAACTGACACTTGATTCCCGACACCGACAGAGAAATGAAGAAACAGGTATATTAAAAGAAAAAGAAAGAAAAGGGAAAGAAAAATATAAGCAATGCTATCAGTAAAGTAGATCGCGGTGTGGGTCTATACTCCTGTTAAAAGGCGTCGAGCCAATTACCAGAGAATCAGGCTCAATTAAAAGGCGAGCAACAATCGTCACAATGACTGCTGCTTACACGAACGATCCCGTAACCCAGGAACAGAACGTAGAGAAGAAGACAAGCACGATAGACAATAAAGCATCGGAAAATACGAAAGAGGAAACGATGCGCGAGGAAAACACCGAAATTACTTGTGTGGAAATGACGAAGCTTGCTGCAACAGGTGGCCAGGATCAAAAAGAAATCCCTGTTAACCAGGAGAGATCTACGCTTTGTATATCGGTTGACTCGTCGGCATTCCTCGAGCAAAAAGGCAAAGATATGGAAAGACTGGAATGCAAGAAATATTCCGAGGATAGCGAATCTTTGAAAAGAGACGAAAATATTGTACCGACGATCGACGATAATCGAAACGCGATTGCAGATGCAACTGATATTAGAAACAGTCAAGTGTCGAGAAACGGTGAATCCAGTGGAGCAAAGTCGTCCTCTGACTCGATCGTATCAACAAGATTCGATGCACTTCTCGTTGAGAGTGATCCTGAAAATACAATGTCGGGAACACGTGGAACCGATGCATCCTCGAATGATAATTTCACGATGCAAGAATTACAGAATTCTATTCAGAACGATATTATAGAAAGCACGAACTTTACGAATGATCCAGAGGTTTGCAACGGATTGCCGAAGGGTGCAGATTTTTCAAATGACCTAGAGGAGATTTATGATCCAGAAAGTGAGCTAAATTTCCACGAGGCTGTACGTGCTGGCGATGCTAAGAGTGTTGCAGCTCTTCTTGCAAGGGACTCGCTACAAAACTTGGACGAACCGGATTGGAATGTTTCAGGTGATCCACCCCTGTTAGTGGCCGCTACTAATCATTGTTTGTCCGTTCTTAGGTAAGAAATTTCAACAATTGTACATTCTTAGTATGTAGAGACGCATGAAATCTCGCATCTTTTCGAACGAGAAATTTCCGGACTTGAGAAACCACTTTCTCAACGATACTTTCCCGAGATTCAAGTTCTTCTTCTCTAACAGAATGGGGCAGAATATTTATTTAGACAGAAATGTCAAACGACGGATACGTAATACACAAGTTTCAAATAAATCTCGTTAAAAATAATATTATCGATAAAGTAGACAGTTAATAAGTTACAGGGTACAGCTACTTTTTACATCATAAAAATTGAAGTATCGCGCGGCAGAAGTTGTACGATTCTAATTTTATCGATTTTACTGAATTCTAATTTTGACCACTGAATTTCGCTGGGGAGTTTGCTGACGTCGAAAAAAAAAATATTCCGTGGTGTATAAACCGCTGACGAATTGTTCTCGAGACACTTACGTTGCAAAAAAAACCCGATGAATATTCGTGAAAACCATACTTGCTCACACGCTTTCCTATACCTTTCATCCCATATTGCAACCAGATGTTCAGAGGCTCAGCGTTCCCGAAAGAACATCACGATCCTGTCTTATGAGATGAGATTTGCACGTGAAACGTAACTCTTTGTAATGGTAATTTTGTAGAGCGTAATACAGGATCGTAGCCAGTAGCACATTACATTATCCTATAGGCCAGTGTTTCTCAAACTACACTTCTATCTCTATCGACGATAACGTTTAGAGTTCGACGAGGAAGAAGCTGATGGCCGATGGAGTGCAATAACGAAAACTTGTTGCTTTGTAGTTTATTGCTTGCGAACGGATGCGATCCAGCTGTGCGTTCCCCCCGCGGTGAAACGGCGCTTCACAGAGTGATTTTAAATGGAGGACCAGGGAATGTGCTACAATTCGTGGGAGAACTCCTCAAGTATGGCTGTCCTCCAGGCGTGAAAGAAGCTGGCGGTGGATTGACAGCGTTACACGTACTAACTCGACAATTAGCACATGCGCAAGGATCGAAGAATCTCCATCATAACTTTGATGCCGCTTTGAAGACGCTTGATTTATTAGCGCGTGCTGGTCCTGTTAACGCGAAAGATCACCAAGGCCGTAGCGCGCTTCACATTTTAGCTTCTTCCACTATCTTCGGTACAGTCTTGTTCGTGCTCATTAAACAAAATTCGGATAATAATATATCCACTTCTAGATAGATAGTATTTTCACTTTAAACCTTAAAAGTAAAATGAAACTCGTATGCTTAGAATAATAAATTAGTATGTAACTCGTTATCGTTTTGATATAACTGATCGACTGCTACTAGAAATTTCACTTTTGCCTTACAGCGTTGTACGCTCCCAAGATTATCCTGATTTGTTTTTGTTTGTACGAGTCATCTGATTAAAGTAAAATTGTTTTCTTGCAGACAATAACCACAGAACTGAAATCGAATCTTTGATCGAGACTTTGTTGGCTGCTGGCGCGGATCCGGCATTGAAGAACGATCGAGGAGAGACTCCTTTGCACGAGTGTCTCGAGTGCGGTGCTTTAAACACAGCGTTTTTATTGGTACAGCACACACCGACTGGTATAATGTCGCGATACGGCGAAACTCCATTGCATATCGCCTCTAGAAAGAATTATGCTGACATGGTAGCAAAGTTATTGGACCAAGGAGAAGATCCTAGCGTGCAAGATGCTGGTGGTAACACGCCGTTGCATCTAGCTTCTGCGAGGGGTTTTCATCAAATCGTTTCTTTATTAGTTACGTCTCCTCTCGCCCAGTTGGAGAAACTAAACACCGAAGGGTTGACTGCCCTCCAAGTAGCTGCGGAAAGTGGCTTTGTTAATGCGGTGAAACTGTTGCTAAAAGCGGGAGCAGATCCAAGTCAAACAGTCCACTATTGCTCGACGACTCTTCATCGTCATCCTGATATTTCTGTTCTAATAGATCACGAATTGAGTAGACGTCGACAGCTCGCTGCTTGATTATTTCGAAATTATTTTTCGTTAATAGATCGTTATTCTAGTAAAACTGATCGAGTTCTTTTTTCAATACTAAAATTAAATAAATAAAATTTTGTTTGTTTAATGGTGTCAAAGCATTTAATATATTTAGGTAGCTTTGATGCTGTAATTAAAGTAACATCGACTAGATGTATGTTAATTTTTTTACGTGGTTTATACAATTGTTAAGTTTAGCTACTAAAATATGTTGCATATAAAAATTGTATAATCCTTTTTTCATTTATATAGGAAATTTTGTAACTTCGTTAAAGTAATGTTGAACAACAACTGATTTCGAAGTATTCCGAAATCTAAAGTACAATTTGACTTCGTTGAGTATACATAAGTTCTTGTTACAATGTTATATTGCCAATTGTATGGGCTGGATATACTCTTTTTTATTGTCAAATGATAAATACTAGTATTCGCTTGTTGCTCAATACTGTCTAGTATCGATTATTCGAAACTCGACGGAACTAATTAAAACTATATGAATGCCATGATTTCTGGCTGTGGTTAAAACTGCACTTTAAAGACTGTGTGATACTGATATATACATTTTAAATAAAGGAATAATATCAACTTTCGTATTATCTTACAAATGTACCTCTATGAGTTATGCTTAATTATTTTATGATATTATTTTTCTATGAGAAATAAATGCACAAATCGAAATAACAATGCTGTATATTTTATATAACGTACATAAACCATTATAAAGGAGAAAATAATGAAATAATAATATTTTGGTTATTTATATACAAGTATATACGAAACGATGTAGAGTCAATATTTATTAAAATATAAGTTGGTAATAATTAATACACGTAAAAAAAAGTTGCGTAACGACTTCAAAGTACAAAGTCCAAATTACTGATTTTTACCTTGGCATAAAAAACATATATAAAAATAAATCTTTTGAGACTTCGTGAAACATTATCGTTATATTTTCTAATTGCGGTTTAAATTAAAGGGAAATACAGTAATTAATGTTTCATTCCAATAATGTACATTATTAATTCTTCGACTATCATGGTTCCATACGAAAATAGAATCGCTAATGCCTTTTCGGTAACAAGTGCAGGTAAGTATACGAAAATTATTCTTAAATTTATATAAACAAAGAACTGATAACAAGAACTTATATAGAATATTATGTAAAAGGGTAATAAATCTGGAAAAGAACTTGCAATATTTAACTATTATTATTTATTAGTATATATATGAACATTCAATCTCGACTATACATGTTAAACAAAAATATTTCTCAAAATGATTTTGCCTTAATTGCAAGAATTTAATATTGTCATCCTAGACCTGATGAAACACATTATATAAATACATATTAAGTAATAATACGATTTATTAGCAATCCCTTACCTAGCGATCTATTGTTCTTTGTATGTTAGGCAGCAGATTTTTTCAGGATATATTTTTGAAAGAAATATTGCATAATGTTATGAATCATTATTTTCTTATTTACAAGTGTATTTTATTCTTTGTTGTTGATAGTGTTAAGAAAGACAAATTTCGTCGAAATTGTAAAATGTAACGAATCGAAACGTAACGAATTAATCTCTTCACATTTGTTTACTGTCTCATATTTGGCAGTTTTAAAGTTTCCAATGTAATTATAAAATGACAGTCGAAGAATTAAATACTTCACAGCCATCGCATTCGGTAATTGCACGTTCAGCATGTTTGCCCAATCTGTCGTTGCGTCACACTTATTTACAACTCCTTTCTGTCAATGCATTCCAACAATATTTGACACTGCGCGTTTTCTTTTTTAAAATTGCTATGTAAAAATTGCTTCTTTTTTTGCGTATGTGATGTCTACAATCTCTAATGCAACGTTCTTTTTTTTTCTACTTTGAAGGCTCAACCAAAAGTTAAATTTCTCAAGTTGTTTTAGATTTATCAATTTTGATTTGTTTAATAAAAAAAGTACTTCGAATTTTTCCGAAAAGTAGCTCACACATTTACAAAATACAAATTACGAAACGTTGCATTAGATATTCAATAAATTTGCATTTCAATATTCTAAACTTCTCAGAATTAAATCCGTATTCCGAAAATTAATTAATTTTCGATTTTTTTTTAGTAGAACTAGTAATTTCTGTATCTTCCTGAAAATTAACAAATTATAAACACTGGCCTGATATAATACTGCCATATTTAAAAACGGTGATAAGTTTTTATATCTTTGCAATAATACAAAACTAGTATCTATATTATAGATAATTAAACGCTCGCATGTTACATTACTTTTACATTCAATTCGATGTATAATTCTATGGACATCTGTACCATGCACGAAGAATGATGCAATACTTTCTAATCATCTTCGTAAATGTATAACCTCTTGTACTAGAATTTTTAGTACTTTCGAATTTTCACTAACGAAATAAACATCTTCCTTTGGCACTCTTTATTACCACAACTATTTTGTTTTAGATCTATCAGAAATGTGGACATATTCTGTTCACACATTTTTATTTGCAACATCTCTTTTTTTTTCTTTAACAATTTATAATATCTTTGTTCTTCATAAGAAACTTTCAGAAATTCAGATTCTGACTAAAGCTTAATATAAAATATGAAATACAATACAAAATTTAATATAATTTTGTTTTTATGAATATCACACTGTCATTCTCCGAAGCTTGAAAATTGACTATTGTCAATGAAAGATAAATTCACATTTACACATATCTATGATGAATAATTCTGTGTTGGTAATATTTCATTAATATTACGAAGTACGATACATTGTTTTTTAAAGTCACACTCGATGTTATACTCGATAGAATATACATATATCACACAGATATGTGTAAAATGATTTAAGTAAGCTGTATTCCTTTTTCATCTATCATGCCATTTATTTTTAGATGGTAAATTAATTATATTTCGGGTTAATTTCATTGCAACAAATTGAAATGAAATATAAATTCGTCTGATCGAAAAAGAATTAAGTTTACTTTGTTAAGAATGAAAATTCAAAAAGGAAATGCAGCTTACGAAATAATGTTGTCTTTTTTCACTTGTATAAATTTTACAATCAACGTTAAACTATTTGATCAACTTATGTGTAATTGATGGATTAAAAATTTTCTGTAAGAATATAACATCCTCAAATCTTTTTAGGAACAATATTTGTCTACCTTTTATTTTTAAATGAAGATGCGAGAATAGAAAACAATTCGAACGAGGATATATATCCAGTTAATAAAAATGAATTCTTTGGCTTTAGAGATATGGCTGTTTAAAATGCACACTGAATGCATATAATACGCAATTATTTGCTAAAATAACATCTACAATCTAGATAATGCTACAATAAGATGTACTATGAAAACATTCATTCTTCCATACAGGCCTGATGATTTTTACTTAATATTAGTATTTAAATACAAAGCTGTAAATATACATAAGCTTGCAAAACAGTATTTTCCAAGTGTACTCTGCATTTGAATTGTATATCAAATAATGATATAGGATCTGTATATAAGGCCAAACGTTTCCATATAAAATTATGATATAATAAAGCAGAATGTTTCAGTATATTATATTAACTTATTCACTACCATTTCTTATTAATACAAAGTATGTACAATCGTGAATACCTGTAACAAAGTTTTACTTTCATCGCGATATGACAAAAACATAACGCAAAGTATCATCAATAATTGTCAATGAATTTGTAAAAGTTGTTTTTTGGGGAAGGGGAGGGGGCAGGTGTCAAATTATGGCAGTGAATATGTCAATATCATGAGACAACATGTAATTAGACACATTTTTCGCTACGAATTTTCTAGTATCACGTTACTACAATATGTATTTAAAATTGTACTGTAACATGCAATTTTCTGCTAAAAATAAAAAGAACTATGCATTCAATGGATAACCGTTTTTTAAAGAATATCATTTAGGAGCATTAAATTGTTTCATCATCTTGTTAAACATGTTCATGACCATGTAAAAAATAAATGACTTTAATTATACTCTCGTATTTTTATATTGTAACTATATTTTCGAAATATTTAGTATAAAGAAAAATCATATTCTTACCGTTGTAAACTTGGCAATGTACCATATTTGTTACCCTATTTTGATTGGCCCCTTCTAAACTTTAGTAGCTCATAGTAGAAAAAGGCTAACAAAACTGAGTAATAAATATGGTGCAATGCAAAATTAAGATTAAAAATAATTATAAATATCGACTCATATATCAAACAATAAGTTTTATAATCTTCTTCATTTTAAAATTTGTTTGCTAATTTAGTACTCAAATTTAATCAACAACTACAATAATAACAATAATTATCGATCGTAAACTATATTAATTAAATGCTATAGAGTATGAGCATAATACAAAAATGCTTAAAGAAAAGTCGAAAAATTTCGATTCCTACAACCTAAGTATAATTAAATTTTTACTATGCTTCAATTATGTAAAATATTGCATAAACATGCTCGATTATCGATATCTTCGATAACGAATTATTTTCTACTCCGAGACGTATAATATTGGTATTTTTCATAGAGAAATTTACAGTTTCATGAGCATATTAGGAGCTATTGGAAGAGAAAGTTGCCTGAATTAACGTAATTTTATCAAAATTGAATTACCAAGGAAATATTATTATATAAATAAACAATAATAGGTCCTAATAAAACGTCGTTGATATTTTCAAGATTTGTGCAAAACAGTACTAAACAAATATTTTCTATTTGTATAGTAATTTGTACAAATTACAATTATTATAAATATATGTTTCTTCAAGTAGTGAGAAAGTCCTGGAATTCTAAAAGTCTGTCATACACCGAGAATACACTCTGGTGTACCTATCATATAAATATACAGAATGTATCAGATGATATATATTTGAAATATATGTATATGTTTTTATTATGTTTCAAACATATAAACTTCAACCAATCTGCACTTAAAGATGAGATAATGTTCCATTAGAATTGTGCATCCTAAAATTTGATCTTTAACACTTCCGCTACACGGGCGATTTAAACTTGTACTCAACATTCTATTAAACTGTAGTATGAAAGATAAAGATACTTAAATGATGTGATCGATCACCAGTGACTGTCGGGGCAGCGAAAGTATTAAAGACTAACGAAATTATACAGCTGTACATGCACATATATACGTTTTATTATTTATCTCTACTATTTTAATTAATATATACTTTAATAGTCATAGTTAGATTTTAAGAGATTACTTTAAAAGTAATCAATTAAAATTGTATACGATGTCATCACCATCTTTTTTATGTTATAATGTCATGTACTTTTATACTCTTATTTCAATTAGATTATTTGAGCCTCTTCAATTCCTATGATACAAGAAAAATTAGGGCACTTTAGCTTCCAATTCTCCAACAGGAGCCAATGTAAAATATCATTTTACCTAGAATGTTCTATAAACATATTTGTATATTATATAAAAAAGATTTTTCGCTTGTGCACCGCAACAGCACTTTGAAAAGAGACTTATTCTTTAAAAATACTGTGACGTACCACGTGTATTGTGCATCTTAAAAAAAAAACTTAAAAACTAAGTTCTATTATACGAATAATAAAATCTAAAATAATTTACGACAAATCAAAAACTAAACGTCCAAATAGAATACGCCGTGCTTCGCGCACGCTACATTTTTGTTTCATCGATATTAGATGAAGTGTCTATATGCTAATTTAATGTCTGTTCTTTGGTTTTATATAGGTAAATATTTGAATTTAATGAGAAAGTAAAGCATGTTACTCTTCTTTAAAATGCTACAAATATTTATTATACAGGCACAGTTGTAAAATAAAAAATCGATCATTCACTTACAGATGAACTACGTCTACAAGAAGCTGCTAAGTCACTAATCGTGGAATTGTGACGCGTCTTCCTTGAGCCCTCATTATCATTCACAAGGTTTGGGTTAACCGAATGAGAAAGAGCAGCTGTTTTATTGAAATCTATTGTAGCATACCCTTTTTGCAGCTTGTTTGGAGACTCTGGAGGAGATGCAGTCGAATTTGAAGGTCCATCCAACGGCGAATTGATTGATACATCCTTTGTATCCAGGTCTAATACAGCATAGTTCACTTCTCTAATTGGACCACCTGTAGGCGTTGATGGCGGCAAAGGCGACTTTTCAGCTACAGATACTCCGGAAAACCTTTTCCTAAAGCTTTCGATTTCACTTGCTTCTAAATTAGCATAACAATGTCTCGTTCCTTCTTCCATATCAGGTTGAATAGATGGCAATGGCGAAGGTCGTGGTCTAGCACCAAAAGATTCTGTATGTTCCTGACCTGGACTTATATTCATATAGGCGTGTCCAGATTCATTATTATCAGTTTTGTCTTCCTTAAATTGCATTACTTCGCAAACACTATGAGTTGGAGAAAGTGGACTAAGATCGCTATTAATATCTACATTCATATAAGCTGCTACTGGAAGCTGTGACTTTGTTTGAGAAGCGATTTCTGAATTTTTATGCACGGATATTAATTCCGACGATGCCGAGCCATTATCAGATATAGAGTTACTCACTGTACAAGGTCTGGAAAATAATAAAATGTTATTAATATTAACGAGTAATTAACATACGAAGATTATAATGCGTATCAAAATATGTATATGAAATTTTAGTTACCTCTGTATTGCTCTTGTAAGGCTTTTATTATTATTATGCTCCAGTTCCAATGGCAAAGAGGACAATATCTCTTCGTTGACATAAAGCGAGGACGGATGTGGTTGAGAGAGTGGTGGTGGGGGTGGTGGCAGCACAGGAGGTGGTGAAGGAGAACCTATGGTTCCAGGAGGTGATATAAGACCAGTACTACTTCCCACGCTACCTAATCTTCCATTTTGTTGACTATGAACAAATCTGGGACCCACGCGATTATTAGTTCTATTCAGTATTGGATCCAAATAATTAGGCTCAACTGGTATTGTCACTCTTGTTACTGTTGGAACAGCATGAGAAGCAACTGAAAGTTCTCTGGACATTGTATCTTCTCCACTGTTATTACAAACCTAAAGCATTAATTAGATAACATTTTAAAAATCCATACATATTTCAATAAATAAAACATCTACTAATGATTAATAAAAAAAAAACATGCCTGAATATTTGTTTGCACAAGATTAAATAACTGTGCAGCCCTACGGCACTTAAAGGCATAAATGCCAGGCCCTGTAATACATCTTCTGCCAGATTCAAAACTAAATATTTCAGCATCATAACCATATCTTCGCAAACAACGTAATGGCCATTTAATAGGCTGTTTACCACGTTGATAAAGCACAATATCAGTTTCTGTAACTTCTAAACGTCCAGGTGTAATTAAATTACCTAAATCATCTATATTCATCACTTGAAAAACATTCGGATGTAGATCATTAATGTCTGTCCGACTATTGACACAACCCATTCTTTTTTACTCTGCAACAAAGAAATAAACAATGTTACTTTTGCTGCAGTCATGTTATTCTACACATGAATAAAATAGATTGCAATGCATATCATTAATTACATTTGTCTCTAATTCGTAAGAATTTACATTAGAAATAACATAATCTATTTGTAACTATAAAACAGAAGCAGTTACGATAACGAAGTAATAGTAAACATTAAACAATTTAAAAACAAACATTTCAGAAGAATTTCACGAAAGGAAACTTAATGCAAGTTCGACGATATGCGATCAAACAAGGCTAACGTTTCAAAATCGGGTAAATTTCTGAGGATGTTTTATTAACATTTACATAACTTACCAAATGCGACATATCCAAAACATTCAGCTTGTTTCTTAAAAAGAATTACTCGTCCTTTTACAAACAACAAACCACACTCTCCACATAACACTGCCGCACACTAATCTCCACTTCCTTGAAGTTGCTGCAGAGTAAAAAAAAACAATAAACTATTCATTACGATCTGAAATCATACGTTACGAGCATATATTTCACATTTGATTAATAGCTATGCTTGGAACATTGATTAAATCTATTATATTTTACTAATTTATTGTAAATATGTATACGTCGTGTCTATTATATGTTATGTATATGTGTACATTTACGTATGTACACAAGTATAAAAAGAATTATCAGCAATTACCAATTTGCAAGAGAATTACGGTTTTTTCACGTTCTATGAATGAATAATTTCCCCTACTCTTTCCATTTTTTTTAGTAGGAAAGTAACTATTTTTGCAAGGTGGAAGAAGTAAATAAAGGAATTCATCATGTTCAAGTATAGCGCCAGTAATGCAATCTCTGCAGTCTTTTCACTGAAAAGATGAAACCGAAGTAAATAATACCATGTGATTGCAAAAGGACAGAAACATCAGTGGTCCTTATTCCCAAATTGATATCACAGAATTTATAGGAAAGCATAAGTATGTACATATATATTTGCTTGTTGTATGTAAAACAAACATTACACATATGTGATATTTTGAGTGTTCGTTAATTGTTCAATTTATATTGAAATTTATATTTAAAAAATAAAGAAGTTAAGAATTAAAAAATTATTTTCATTTAAATTTTAATATCACGTTGCTCGTCCACTTATTTGTTATTGCATACAATAAAAAAAATGTGTAAAAACATACAAATGACGCCATCTAGCGTTAAAAAAAAGAACTATTCGAGGACAAACTTGAGCGTTTTCTCGATAGAGGCCGCTGACTAAATTCTGAAAATTAGTTCCACCTTCTCACCGCTGAATGGCGATACCATTATAACTAAATATTAAATATGTTATTAGATATATTGTTTGTTTTACATACACAAACAAATATGTACTCAACTTCCGTATAAATTCTATGATATCAATTCAAGGAATAAGGATCACTAACATTTCGATCCACAGCGAACCAATGAGATGTTGATCATGAAATTGTCTGTTCTTTACATCGTTTGGTCTTCTCACTAAACGGGATAATACACAGCTACTTAAATTCGCTTTCCATGCGAACGCGCCACGTATTTGGTTTATTTTCAAACACTAACCCGGTGTAATCTGTCGTGTTGATTGCTGACGTTGGAAATCCATGGAAATCAAAATCGTGGACTAAGTTTGGTTAGAATATTTTGATGTATAGTCGAGTTGGTTGATTTGTTGAATTAAAGTTTCGTGTATTCTAATCGACAATACTAAAACAAAATAATGCATACTGTCTTCACACGTAGTAATGCTATTTTAGCATATGCATTAAGTGTTGGAGGGGCTCTAACGTTTTGTTGTTTTCTCTCCACTGTATTTATTGATTATAGAGCAAATGCAACATTCAATACTGCAAAAGTACTTGTGTAAGTATCATATATTTTGATAAATATTATAAATACTATCTTTTGTAATACTCATTAACATTTTATCTTGCAGAAAAAATGTGCCAGATTATAGTGCAGCAAGAGAAAAGAATGATATGGGCTATGTCACAATCGATTTACAAACTGATCTTACCTCGTTATTTAATTGGAATGTGAAACAACTATTTTTGTACCTCACAGCTGAATATCAAACAGAAACTAATGATTTTAATCAGGTATAGTATTAATTAACTACAAGTCAAATAATTGCAGTTAAGTACAATTTAATACGCAGATTAAATGAAATAGTTTTTCTCTATTTTAGATAGTATTATGGGATAAAATAGTACTTCGCGAGGATAAAGCTGTATTTGATTTTAAGAATATGAATACGAAATACTATTTCTGGGATGATGGTAATGGTTTGAGGTAATTTGTTATTGTTAATTAATAATTATGTAGGAAGCAAATAATGGTACAAATAAATAAATATGATTTTGCACCTATTTGTTTCAGAGGAAATAAAAATGTAACATTAACATTATCATGGAATATTATACCAAATGCTGGACTATTACCATGTGTTAATGCTATTGGTTCGCACACGTTCGCATTCCCATCCGAATATACATCAATGCGCGTGTAAGATAAATGTGATCGTTTATATCCATTGTATTGTAAAAGTTTTAATTATTCTACATAAAATCAATGTATAATAAACACAACATTATTTTTATGTGTTATTATTAAACGTTAGATCACGCTTAATTGGTATATTCTTCACATATTTTTTATACATTTAACATACCCGGAATTTTTTTTATAAAAATTTCAACGACGGGGCTAGAAAAATATTAATAATTTTGTAAACACAACAATTAATATATTTATTTTTCATGTTTATATTTAATGAAAATATGTTTTATTAAATGTTATTTTTATTAACATGTAGTTTATTATTGTCATTTCCTTCAGTTTCACTTAACGATTCATCTTCTTGTTCTTCTTCGTCGTCGTCATCATCGTCTTCGTCGTCGTCGTCATCGTCTTCATCTTCATCTTCGTTTTCGTCATCATCCATGGCACAATTTTCGGAACCATAACCTTGGGATTGATTTCCTGTAATATAAAACAATATATACATGTTTTATAAGATATAGAAACAACAAACTAATATCGCACAGTAATTATGTTTTTTACCATAATAAGAATATCCATCTTCATCGTCAGAGTCGCCGGTTCCACTTTGATTTTGCCTACCAAATTTATGACTTCTTGCTGCAATAAGATAAAGTGAAAATGTAATGTAAATGTATTATTAATAAAAAACTTACAATGAAATAGAGTATTGTCGCTTACTTGACATGCTAAGGTCTTTAGTTTGAGATGTTTCAAAACTACATTTGGGACAAGGTATAGGTTTATTCTTTTCATATTTAAACCCTTTCCTTCGAACATGATCTTCGCAATAACATGTTTTACATCTCAGACAAGAATATTGCCCTAAACGATTACATGATTGACCTAAAAACGTTAATAATAAATAATAAAGTATTAATGGCAATAATTACGTAAATATATGATATTATTAATGGAATATTACATTTAAAACTTTCTGCTTCTAACACTTGACAAGATGCTTGATGTTCAAATTGATCATCTTCACAAAGGAAACAATTACAGAAAGAGCATCGAAATATTCTACCACCATGATCCCATACGCCTCTTTCGCATTCCTGACAAATTGCATCTGCTAATGGACACATACATGCATGAGTAGTAAGGCATCGTCTTCCATGGCAAACCCATGCTTCACAGTGATCGCATATTGCTCCCTATTAAATACTCACTCTTTATAACTTTCATTTCGATATTTAAAATACTTTGGTGGTACAAAAAACAGATTTACTTACCACCATACCTAAACCAGTAGTAAATATACCGGGGTGGCGAACAACGCAATCTCCAGTTTTTAACATACATTTTATTTTACCGCAGTGGGCACACATAGGTAAACGCTGTAGACTTTGACAGAAATAACAAAAAGCTCTGCTTTTTTGTTTCTTGTTGCATTTATCGCATTCCTACAATAAACTACAAATTAAAACTGAATATTCGAAAGTATTATTATAGGTTATATTTTGGTTAATAATGTTAAACGTGAATTTTGTAATATTATTTCGATAGAAATTCTTCATATTTCATCGTAATAGAAATTAATTTCACTACAATCTATAATTACTTGCCATTACTGCATTGCAAGGAAATTTGGCTAGATCTACTTGATCCTTGGAAGCTCGAATTTCTTTCTGTCTCAGTTTTTGTTTCTCCGCTTTTCTTCTTTGACCAGTCTTTTTCTTCGGCATTTTGTCACGTTTTATTACGATTTACACAACTATTGTAATGTATTTAATTTACATTCATTCAAAAACACAGCTAAGACTTTTACCAACGTGCCATTATGTCACTCAACCAACTCGAACTGCGAACATTATTACGAAGTCCGGTTCACACCAGTTCACCGACTTGTATTTTTTTCGATTTCTTTTACAGATATTAATTTCACGATATGTTTCATTTACGTTCGAAATATTGTAGTTTACATTTAACCAAAATTGATGTTTCTTTTAAATAATTTGTTTATAAAATATAACTTTTCCCACAGATATTCCACATTTATTTAATAATATACATACTATAATCTCTATGCAGTTTTGTACATTTTTCTTACATCGTTTTATAGATACAAAGAACGGAATGTATCATACATTTGAACAATAAGTAATTATTAGTTCACAGTAATATTTACAATAAAACGTTCATTAGATAGACATTTTTAGAGGGAGTCTTTTTTTCATATTTAAGATTGAAGTTTTTCTTGTAGTAATTTTTCCAATTTGCATACATCTACTGCAAATTTGCGAATACCGTCGCTTAATTTATCCGTTGCCATCTGATCTTCGTTGAGCAACCACCTAAATTTGGCTTCATCCAAGCTGATCTTTTGAAGATCGCACTTCTTCGCTGCTTCGGCCGTAAGGACTTTGCGAATTGGTTCGTTACTTTTTTCTAACTCTTCCAGCAACTTCGGACTTATAGTCAAGAAATCGCATCCGGCCAATTCCTTAATTTCACCTTAAATAAACAATAATCTATTAGAGCAATAATTCATTTTTATACAAATTTAAAAAAAATAAATACTTGCCAACATTTCTGAATGATGCACCCATAACAACGGTTTTATACCCAAACTTTTTATAATAATTATAAATCTTTGTTACAGATATAACACCTGGATCTTCTTTAGGCTCATAAGATTTCTTGTCTGTATTTGCTACATACCTAAATATTCATTTTGGAATATAATGATTTAAATGAAAAAAAAAAATAAATTTTAGATGTTGAGGTAAGCGTTCATTATAATTTATAGTTAACTTACCAATCTAGAATTCTACCAACAAATGGCGATATAAGGGTTACACCTGCTTCCGCGCATGCAACCGCTTGCGCGAAAGAAAATAGAAGCGTCAAGTTACAGTGAATTCCATACTTTTTCTCCAATTCTCTACAAAATTAAATTTTGTAAGTTTTAGTTTAAATTTTATTTTGAACGTTCTATCAGTTTTGTAAACTATTTAACTTACTTTGCTGCCTGAATACCTTCCCAAGTGGAAGCAAGTTTAATTAATACGCGATCTTTATGTACGCCGATTTCTTCGTACAAAGCGATTAGCTTCTTGGCTTTTTCTATGCTAGCTTCTTTATTGAAAGATAGCCTAGCATCTACTTCTGTAGAAACTCTTCCAGGTATAATATTTAAAATCTCTTTACCAAAGAGAACACATGTGATGTCCAAGGCTGCTTCAATTTGTTCTGTCAAATTACTGAAACATATAAGTCACGTTTCATTCATTCCATTTGGTTAAAACTTTATTATTTGACATAAAATTATTACATTGACATAACTACACATTACCACTATAACCACATTGTGGTAATTAGATGAACAATACTTCCTTTTCACACATTCACTTTTCTGCTTCATACTCTGCTTTATTTTTACTTTTTTTTCAAATTTCAATATTCTTCCATTTTTAATATTAATTTACATTGACTCCTTTATATTTCTTGAGATGCACGCATTTTTCATTTGTTATTGCTTTATAATTCCTACAATGTCTTAAATCAACTACTCTATAAAATTTGATAATCTAACTACTAAATGAAACTTATTTAAATGTGCAAATAATCAAATAATAAACTACTTCTACCATATGTGTACCATTTTTTTTTTAATCATCATTTCCAGGTATATCTGTCATATTCAAATAAATTTTAAATAATTGTAAAATAACAATGTTTCTCAGGTAGTTGATCTCTATTAAAATACAAAGAATTTATGATTGTTACACTAATATGTTATTTCACTTTGGATACTTTACAGACATTTTATATAATATTATTATATTAAAGATACTTACGATCCAGATTTTTTTCCATATTGTACAGCTTTATCTATCAAGTGTGCATATTTTTTTTGACTAGCTGCAGCAAGTATCAAAGATGGATTTGTAGTTGCATCTATGGGCTTAAATTGCTCCATAGCTGAAAATAATTTACAAATTAAATTCACTAATGAATTGTCTGCAATCCATTACCTTCAAATCATTTTTTATGTAACATACATTATTCATATTTCAAGAGTCATTCCAGCTATTCATACGTCACACAGTAATAGAACATAATAATAATGTAAATCATAAGTTACTGAATATGATAAGTAGCCAAGAGTTTCTTCTTATTTACCAAATATAATTTAAAAATTATTACGAAAATAGTAAAATAAAGTAAACGGCAATAATTTTAGAGTGAAAATTCGCTGGTCCTTAAATTTGTTAAAGGAAATGTATCGATTCTACATTAAAAGAAGAAATAAAATTTATTTTCGCTTATATATTAGATTTCGCTTTTCCACATCTGTTTAAATAAATGAGGACAGAATAATTGAGAAATTTATACATAAAAAAAACAGCAGTCGTAATATCAGACGATTTTGTAATTTCCCCCACCACTCTACCCATAACGTAATCTGAATTCAAACTGGTAAATTTCCTTTAACGAAATTTATACGTTCTACAACAATACTTACACATATTTAGGATTGATGTACATATAGTATATAATGATTAAGTATATAACAGATATTTCTTTCTATAAGACAAATACGTAATATTTAAAAGTGCACTACAAAATCATTTCCTCTGCCATGCTTTCCGTTAGTCACCTTCACCTTTGTCCGTGGTCTCTATTATTGTAAACTTCTTCAATGTTTCGTTTACTTACCATGGAAGTCACCGGTATCGGCGACAATTGTTGTTATTTCCTTTAGCTGCGTCAAGGAGCTTGTCATCTTGGCTTTCTTCGATTGAGGCTCACTCATTCTTCTCGATACTTTTATATACCGCTCGGAGAACGTGACTTTTGCTTCTTACACTGGAACGGCAAGAACAACCAGTACGATATGTAATATGTTACAGGGATACCAACTTACATGAAATTATTGCATAATTTCCCTCCAGCATGGCCCGTTGAAAAGTTAGATAAAAATTTCAAACAAAATTATTTAAAATACTATTCAAAATCAATAGTTTTCAAAGATTTAAAATACAAACAAAATTACAGAGAAAATATTTTCATTATGTTTACCATTGTTACATTTTGTTATGTTGTTCTACGTAAATATATGTATGTAGTAAATAACAAAACGAAATGTAAAATATAACACAGTTTTACTTAACTAGTTAAATGTATATTTTTTGTTATCATACCAAACATTTAACATGAATTGAAAATTTTACATTATAATAATTAATTTAATTAAGTACAATATAAGTGTAAAAATATATATAAATAGCGCATATGTATTACATTAATTTTGTAAACACGAATAGTTATTATCTATAATCCAAGACATTAACATTATACAAAAATATATGGATTAAGAAAAAACAACTATTTTCTGTATATGATCTTTAATGAGGTATCTCAATATTAGAGATATATGTTTAAATATACAATAAATACTTTAATTACTTTGATATACCAATATATGTAACGAATCTGTTAATTTGGTATAAAAGTGTGGTCGCGTGATTCACTAAAATACGCATTCAACATATTTCTGCTGGTGTTACCGATCTGTAGATTACCGAGCTATTTGTTCATAAAACAATGTATCTATCTATAGGTCACATTATTATTTACTATTGATGTCGTTATTTTAAATTCTTCTATAGCAGATACAATGAAATACTGATAAAGTGATATGACGTAGATATTTATATATCAATTGCTTAACCGCGATTTTACACGAAAAAATGTACCAAATTATTCATCTGTGCGAATACGTTCAAATATTTGTAGAATTCGGTATCATCATATTTTTTTTAGTTTATATCAAACTCTGTCAGTTGGAGAATGTTTATCGATGAACGTTGTCTTTGGTTGATGTCCATACATAAAGATCGAACATATAACTAAAACAGCGCCTAAAGAAAACTTAAGAGTTAAGTTAAAATCAAAAAGGTATATCGAAGCTACGCAAGAAATAATAATAGCTAAAGATGTAGCAAAACCCTTAAGTATATTATCAGCATATTTAACTACCATGGCAACGATAAGGCCCCCTCCTGCTTGAAGTACAACTAAATAATAAACAAATAGATCATAACCGAAAAAGAAACCTCGCTTTTGTAGAATTTCACCATCTCGTAGAAAACATGTAATTAAACCAAATGGTAACGATAGTAGACCTAACTGTACATTTCTCATCCATAACGAAATATCCGAGTCTTTGAGTATTTTTTCAAAATATATTCCAGCAAAACCTGATAAAAAGCACGCGCTTAGCGCAGCTGAGAATCCGACTATATGATTTTGTTCTATCCCAGACGGTAGAACAGTGTCCACGCTTTGCGCCAATTGTACTAATACTACTCCTATAACTAATAATACTAAAGCTCCCCATTGGGTATTTCTTAAGGATCTTCGTAGTATTATTACAGCAAAGAATGCTGTTGTCAAAATTTTTAGTTGGTACGTCACCTAAGAAATGTCATATTTATAAAAAATTCCAACAACATTATTAGGTACAAAATGTAAAATGATGATTTATACCTGATAAGTTGCTGCATCTAAATTAGATGCAGATACATACAGAACATTATTTTGTATAATGTACAAAAGCGATGGTACGCTTACTTTTAAAGTATCAATTGGTTGTTTTATAATAATTACTTTTAGAGAATTACAAAATTTTGGGAAGCTTCCTTCTTCGATATAACATAATACCAGAGATGTTAACAGTTTAACAACTTCCGACATAACAACAGCTAAAAAAAACATACATAATGATTTAGAAATAAGCTTACTAAAAAAACATTTGCCATCAAAAAGTACAATATTATAAAAATGTCTTATAAAAATGTAATGTATATACCAGTTGAAGGAAGGAACATATCTCCCGATCTTGTAAGTGCATAACGCATGCTAAGTCCAACTGCAGCATTTTGCAATGTGAGAGTTATTAAACTGACATATTTTAATGCTTGACTACTTTCTATAAAACAAATGATTAAATATAAAATATATAATTACTATTAATATTTGCCAATTTTAAACAATAAAATACTTACTTTGCTGCGATTTAATCATAATTATACTTTTCATAGATAAATTTTTTATATGAAAATTAATAGGTCACGGTATCTGTAAAATATCTTTAATTAATAAAATAGTTTTAATGTACAAAATCAAAATCACATATTAAAAATTAAATTTATAGATAAAAAAGAAGAAAATCTGTTTAATAATTGAACTTTTATAATAGTTTTTTTTAAATAACAGCTAAAATACATACCCTTTTTAGCATTTTTATTTAAAAGTATGGCATGCACAGAAAATGTACACGTTGACATTTGTGCGGTACGCGTATTGTATGGTATTGTATCATCTACCATCACATTCCCACTCAACACAGAAAATCAAGTGACAATAAATTCAGTGTGTAAACATTTACTAAGTACGCCAACTTCATTGATATTAAAACCAGTCGAAATATGAAATTTCTATGATAATATAAATTAAATGAGTTTAATTCAAATTGAATTGAATTCACAGACGAAATTTTATCGTGTATACAGTATAACAAACTGATTTTGGACTACGAGATAAAGAGAAATTCATACATGTCAAATTTTAAATATGTAGATACATAAATGTATCAAAATTTCGCTTATCGATAAAAAATTTAATCGTTTAATAATGTCATGTATTTGAACAAAAGATATTAGAGATACAGTTCGAAAACGTGGATCATAATTTCGGTAAAACGTAAACATAATTATCTAGTGAAAGTAATAAAACAAGGGATTTTTCATTTTTACTAATACGATTGGTTAGAGTGATTGATGATTTTTCAAGTATAAATAATTGCATATGTACGAGATTTTTTAGTTGTAACTAACCAATTCTAACCACGTTATAAACAAATGTTATTGTTAACACAGTATTAACAGTATTGTTAAATGTAATAATATTTCAATGATCAGTCTGCTATACAAACCAATGTGCTTTCGAAAAGTGTTAATCGTACACGTTACAAGTAAATCGTGTGAATAAATAAATCGTATCTTTCTTTTTTCGCCGAGTTTAACAAGATAGTAATACAATGTCTTATATGTTATCACATCTCCACAATGGGTGGCAAGTGGACCAAGCAATTTTATCTGAAGAAGACAGAGTAGTCGTAAGTTTCTTATCTTATTATATTAGAAGCTGAATTTCGATTGAACATTCAAGAATCTTCTTGTTCATGATGAAAGTTTACCAATATTTATATCAAGTAGATTGTCTAATTATTATATAAAAATTACATTTGTTTAGGTTATTAGATTTGGTCATGACTGGGATCCGATGTGTATGAAAATGGACGAAGTCCTATATAATATTGCAGAAAAGGTTAAAAACTTCGCAGTTATTTATTTGGTTGATATTACGCAAGTACCTGACTTCAATAAAATGTAAGTTTTGAAAAATTGTCGCTAAACAAATGTTCTATTATCATGATTTGCCATATAATGTGTGCTTAATTATCTTATCATTGCTGTGTAAACTTTGTAACTTGTGAAACGATGCTTTAAAGTCTGATATCTATTTTATCTTTTGTAGGTATGAATTATATGATCCTTGTACGGTCATGTTCTTCTTTAGAAATAAACATATAATGATAGATTTGGGAACAGGAAATAATAACAAAATAAATTGGACCCTGGAAGATAAGCAGGAGATGATTGATATAATTGAGACGGTTTACAGAGGTGCCAGAAAGGGTAGAGGTTTAGTGGTTTCTCCCAAAGATTACTCTACAAAATATCGCTATTAATTTAGTTAATTAATAAATTTTGATGATTATATTATTTTATATTGATCCCTGTCAGCGAGTTGATGAGCAAATGTGAGTAACTGAATTTATATACCAATAAATAACAGTATTTTGTGATTATAAATAAACATAGAGTTAAATATAACGTACATTCATATAATTTATTTTAGTATAAATATAACTGTAAAAATATAATATATGCTTTTGACTAGATTTGTATTTTAATTTAGTATTACTTTTGATTTCTTGGAAGTATTTTCATTTAGCGGATCCATAGGTGGTGGTTTATCTGTAAACAAAAGGATTATAATATTTATATCTAAACAAATACATTAAATTGGATATAATGAACTTACAGGTTTTTAAATAATAAGGATTCTTTAGTACTTGCTTTATACAGTTGTATATATAAGCATATTGACTCTGAAAATTTAAGAATAGATTTAACAGGATATAATTCATATTAATAGGAATATGTTATGTATTGAATTTTCTTACTTCTTTTTGTACCATATTTATTCTATTATGTCGCAATCTATATACTGTTCCAAATACATCTAATTTTCTATTATCTCGAAGATGTTGTAAAAGTATATCTACTGCTATTAAAGTACCAGTTCTACCAATTCCTGCACTATAAAAAAAATGTTTTATGGTTTATGAAACTGAAATAACTTTAATATTATATAATAGTATTACCTGCAGTGAATTAGAATATATCTTTTATGTGTTAGAATATTACGACGTATAATTTGACAAAAATGGATCATTGGATCAAAATCCTCTGGAACATCGTGATCTGGCCAGTCTTTAAAGTGTAAATGTATTACATTTCTTTTATCGTTTTCCTGTAAAATTTCATTTATAGTTAAGAAGATTCCACTAAAGAGATTGTCAGTCCATTTACCTTTTGCAACACAAATATTCTTTGTGTATATGACCTATAGTCTAATTCGCTTATACATTTTATAGTCATATATTCATATCTAAAAGTTTCTCTAATTGTTGGAAAATACTGATGACATTTTTCCTATAAAGTAATTTTCTATTATTTGTATATCAATGCACGTTTAATTGTACTCGGGTAAAAGTAATCTTACCTTGCCTTTTTCGACTAACTGAGTTAACATAACTATAATATTTATATTATATTGGTCTACCATTCTCCAAAAATCAAACGTGGTTTCTTCTTTTGGACCTTGACAAGCTATATATTCGTCTTCTCCTGAGTAGCCCTAAAAATGATATGTATATGTACAAGTAATGTAAATTCAATACATTAATTATAATCACTTTTAATATTTTTATTTACTTTTATGAAGGATGCGTTGATATAGTCAGTATTAGGATCATTGTCGATCACTTCTAATTTAACTCTGGAAAAGTCATCTGAAAATGTAAAGTAATCTTAATGAAGTTCATATAATTTAGCGATGTTTTAGATAATTAAGTATAGATTTGTACATGGTAAAATATCGGAATATCTGTTTTTTTTCTTATTAGCTTGTAAACAGGCACTATTAGTTGGCATTTGTAAATCCACACTGAGAGTTTGTAGTAATCGAAATTCATTGCTTAATTTCCCAGGAGTGTCAATAAGTTCCTGACAATGACTTATAAATTTTTTCCTTGAAAAAGGTGTAGGCACTGGTGAACCAGACATGTCAGAATGTAGAAATCTCCGCAGTATCCTAAAAAAATATAAATGATCAATGTTAAACTAATTTTGTTTTATTTATAATTATATATAAATACATCAGTTTTTTATGCAATTATATAAGCAATTTTAAAAGATGTTTAAAAGAATGGCACTACCATTAATATTTATCAATGTTGCTTACAAAAATAAAGTAATAACACTTAACACTGATGAATGGAAGACACCAGTTTAATTATTAAAACTCTACAAAAATAATTATTTTTAATGCACGCACTTTGTAAAGAAAAGAAATAATGATTCATCCTTCCAAACACTTAAAGTCATAATTATATTACAAAATCCGTCTGCAGTTAACATTTAAGTCTATCAGACACATTGAAAAATAGAATATCCAAAGTATTCTTGTGTAATTTTCTAATGGTTACTCCACGGTTAAGCAACAGTTTGATAGCTACTGAACATAATGTAATGTGTATTTTAACATGTATGGCAGACATCTGCATTCAGTGACCTTGTTGCTTCTAACTATAGTGTTCTTCTGAGTCACAAGAGAAATATTGATTATTTCTCATAAATGCACACATTCTTCAGTTTCTTTCATTCTATTAGTTTTTTTCTTGGTTTTTTATACATACACGTGTAATAACAATCCGCTTTTAATAAAAACTTTAATTTCAATAAATGTATAAATATACTAAATATTTTTGTTGTTGTTGTTGTATTTTTTAACTTTTTTAAATTATACTTACACTTGCGGCGAACATTTGCGAACCAATAACATCATTGTTGTTAAAATTCCCAAAAATAATATACCAAAAACAATTCCACAAACAAGTTCGATGTTTATTTCAGCATCTAATAAGAAATTAAATATTCAATTAAGAAAATATAAAATCGTATCGATACTATGGAGATCTATTTAAAGAATAGTACTATTATTTTTCAAAATAATAATAATGTAATAAAATACTAACTGGTTTTTATTAAAAATATTGAAGAGTCAGCGTAACCACCACGCGTAAATGCCCGCATTCTAACGTAATACCATGTGTCTGGTTTAAGGGGTCCATTGCAATAAACACGTTTATTGGTATTAGATGAAATTTCCTTGCAACTTGTATCTTCGCCAAGCGTATACTTCACCGCTTTCATGTCGCCATAATCAGCGACATAAGTAGCTGCAGAATGTATAGATTTATATAATAATCTGATTATCTTCCAACCAATTCGTTTACATATTCTAAAAGTGTATCACCTACGATAAGGATTCCAACATAGTCTAGTAGCTTGGTAGGGTATCATGAAATCTTGTAACATTGCTTCTCCCCACGAAGATATATTTGGCCATGTATGCTTGTTTAAATCATATCTGCTATACAATTCGGTATTATACTTAGTTCTTGATACTATAATAGAATAATAAATGATATCGCCATTTGTATCGGGAAATAAAGGAAGCAAAAGAGTAGCCGATGTGGTAGATTTTCGTGCTTTATATGGATCGATAGTTATAGATTTGATGTAGTCTTCGTCTGGCTGAGGAGGAACTAAAGAAATGTTTGAAAAATTATTAATTTATCTTAGTATTTTATACATAGTGCAAGTAGATACGTACTATCCGCAGGATATAAAATGTTACTGTAACTCGCGGATTCTCCATAGTCCTCAACATCCTTAACTTTAGCGGATACTTCAAAAGTGTAATTATACTCTGCCCTTAAACGTTTTAAATTGATAACAGCCATATAATTTTTCGTAATCTCGCTCGAAATATATTGTTTAGTTGAAAAAGAGTGCGATTCGTAATTATTTCGAGTTCCATTTACAACCACGTTAAAATATTCTATTATCCCATTTGAAAAACATGGGAGGCCCCATGTTAATATCGTGTCCAAAGTATCCGTATTACTTGCATTACGTGTAATAAAATATGAAAAGTTGGTTACCATTCCTGGAACTAGAAATATCAATGAAACAATAAAATATTATTCAACCATTCAGGACACTATGTTGTAATAGTTACTTGCAACTGGTGTTTGAAATACTAAATATTCACTGTAATTTCCCCAACCAGCGTTTGTTTTCGCTCTAATTTTTGCTTTATAATTTGTATACGCTCTTGCTTCTAGATATTCGAAAGTAAACGTGGACCCGCTAAAATATTTTATATTTTTTTCCAATGATTTGTTTATACACCAATCCGGTACTAGGAAACATACTTCCCATTCAAGTGTTAGTTCAAACATATTTAAATTTCCTGCCAGATATTCCGGTGTTTTCCATGTAAGTACAAATTGTGAATGCGTTATATTTACAACGCCGAGTGCAGGAGCAGACGGTACTAAAATGTTAAATATATTACATATATTTTATTATTTATTTATTTATTTATTTATTTATTTATTATTTTACTTACTATCTTCCGATGTTGTTACATTGACTGGATCACTTAATTTACTAATTCCTGCTTCGTTAATTATATGCGCCCAACATGAATATGTTGTATGTGGGCTAAGATTTTCAATTGTTGAATTTACAATCAGAAATTTATCTTGAATAGGTGAATTTATAGAGATTTTTGCCGTTCCATTTTTAATTTTGTAACCATGATTACTAATTGTTGTCGAGTTGCACATAACTTCGAGAAACATTAACATGCAATTACTATCTCCCTTTTCTATTTTCCATGAAAGCACTATAATGTTTGACGAGACTAAAGGTTCTTTGATATTTAATATTGGTGGTTTTGCCGCTACAAAAAAAAAAAAATAATTATTTAGAAATGTTACACATGGTAATTGTATTGTTAATAATAAATCTTTTACCAGTGGACGTTGTGTTTGTATGTATGGTGGTCATTTCTCCGTCGTTATTATCTTCATCTACCGCGGTAATATAAATAGAGTATGAAGTACATGCGTACAGGTTGTTTATTGTCACATCTGTTCCATTTGTTTTTATTGTTCTTGATTGTGGATCAATAGTAACGCGATAATGTTTAATACACATTGAAGCTGTTCTTGGTGGTTCCCAATGTACGGATAAAAAAAATGCTTTAGCATTTATAATCGGAAATTGAGATTCGCTAGATTCTAAAAACATATAAGGAGTATTGTTTTCCAGACGAGAAATAATAATAATTATTTTTTAATAACTTACTCGGTGAACGCGTTTTCACTTTAATATTAAGGCCATCGGATATTGTCGTACGCGCAACAACTCTAACAGTAAAAAAGTATCGCGTACATGGTTTCAAATCTTTTGAAAAATATTCTGTTTTCATAGCTTCGAAATAATTACAACCAATTTTAGAATATTGTTGGACGAAATACTTACTTACGCATGTTGGATAATTTGCTGGTGCCTCCCAATTTAAATGAATCGTATCGGCCGTTGCATTTACTATTACATTCCGTACCTTTCCAATTTCAGCAACTAAAAATGATAAAAAGACATAAAACAATAGAAACACATGTTCTTGCAGTCGTTTGATCTGCGAATAAAGAAAGAGTAAAAATCGCTTAGAAATTAGGAACAAATGAACTAAAAGTATGTGCAAATTTTTCAATGAAATCGTCGACACCGTCGCTCGTCGGGTCGCCATCTCTCAGGAGCTTACTTTTATTAACTTCCATCGTTTCATTTTCAGACTTTTCTATCCCCATCGACTGTCGTAGATACACATCGCTGGTTTCAGAAATTCCTTCTATATCTGTCGTTTCATATTGTTCCGTATCAAACAAACTATTTCCAGCGAGCACGTAAAAACTTTTTAGTGCGCAGATTAACAATTGTAATCGTTTTCTCAGTATCATGTTCTTTAGAAGTCTAGAAATCGAAATGATAACTTAGAGAAAAAAACTTAAAAATGAAAGACTTTTAATTAAAAAAAAATTGGCAAGCTTAATTAATGTGCTATTACCATGTCAATCATCAATCGTCCAGAAATATTTGTTCCAAATCATCGTGGCGTAAAACAACGTCATGGTTCTATATCATCTGATGCGGCTGAAGAACAATTTCTCAAGTCCCATTGTTGTTTAGCGACACATCATAAAAACGCACGTTCCTCGTTGTTACAAACGGCAGCTCGTAAATTAGTTCTTGCAGAGAAATCCGATTTATTCGCAATAAATCACTTTATTTAAAAAAATTAGCCACTCGATCTACGAGGTGTAACTAGTAGAGATACGAAAGACTGTTTTGGAAACGTTCTACGTCGACTGTTCTCCTGATAATCATTGTCTCACCACTTATTGACAGCTTTTCGTTTATCCCCCCCTGGTCATTGATATCGTCGATAAGAATCTATTCTAAACATTCTCAAAAGTGCACTCTGCTCTACTTTATTAATCAAACACGTCCACGATATCCACGATGACGATTTTTACAATTTTTTGCGCAATTCTTATTTCATTCTTTTTATTTGTACAATTTTCCTTTTCGCAATCTATCGTTTGCAAAGCTCTCACGAAAATCGGTCGCGCCGTAAAGTTTGCAAAGTTCTCGAGCACGGTTGGATTGCGTGAATAGTTGTTATCGCGTGATACTTTAATCAAGATCCTACACAGAGTTAACGTATTAAATAGAAAACACCTGTTTTCGTATGTACATAATTTTATTTTGTCAATTACTGTTATCTTTGTAAAATTGCGCGAGTATGATGGCTCGATCCTTAAACCTGCAACGAAAGTGCTCGGAGGACTGTCCTTGTGTACGAAATTCTATTTTGAATAACGAATAAAAAATAATTGGCTTATTATTGGTTATTTGTTGAGTCAAAATTATATAAAAACATTACATTTCATATTGAATGAAACATCAAGTGAACAATAGAAATAAATCGCTAAACAATATTTATTAAACATCTATTCTATGTAAGCGGAATTGATTCCGCTAGTAAAAGCATAACAAATTGTAACAAAAAAAGCACACAATTTATTAATTTTCAATTCTTCTTTTATTTGTTCAATATACATCCAAAAGCGTCTATACCAATTCATTTAGTATAGTCTCTGAGGAGGTCCCATAGAAGATTTGATGTGAAGCGAACGCACATTCTGCCAATGTTTCTTTAACAATGAAACCAAAAAATTGATCGACAGATGTACGTTCTGTACCAATTCGTCTGGAGTCATTTCCACGTGTCCTACCGCTACCGATAGACACAATACCTAAAAATAAATTTTTTAAATATACGTTTAACAGTTTCTCTGTACAGAAATTTTGGCCGTCGGTAGTCGCAATAAAGCAGTAGAATTTAAATAATTTTCACAACTCGAAAATGTACCTTTTTCATTTGAAACTTGATCGTGGCTTTTACTTCATCGATCTTTCCAACCATTGATTCCTGATGCGACAGAAGACCAGGGAATTTACCAGCCTTGTTAAGACCAGGACCAAGAATACGCGGAATTTGTTTGATTAAGGACTCGCTAGCCAAGAAAGCATCGTACTTTTTAGCTATAAAAAAGTCAACATTAAATTTCTAATTACATTTAAATATGTAATTAAAAATAATTCGAAAACGTGTCTCGACACGGATTGAGGTGCGAAGCAATAGAAAACGACGCCCTCACCGAGTGCGGAATTTACTCTTCTTCCATTCGACAACCACAGCTACGACGATTTTCTAATAACAATGGTGCTTTTTTGGAAGACATAAAATATCAAATTTATAAAACTAGAGATCTCAAATTACCTAATTTTTTAACAAGTTTTTTGTTCTTGTTCAATTTTTTCAATGCCTCTGCATCCATATATGGAATATTATTAGCCTTAGCTTCATCGCAATGTTGCTGATCACCCAGAACACAAACTTGCATCTTTGGTCTTGGTATATTTTTTAATCTTTAATAAAAACAATTTACACAGTTAATTACAAAACTAGCATCTTCTATAGTAATATATCTTTGTATCTCTTAAATAACTCAATCAATTTATATAATCTTTTTCAAATAAACTTCAAAATATATTTGTTAATTAATTTTTAAAGAGTTGAAAATACAATCATCAAAGTCAATGTTCTCAGCATTATTTAAATAATCCACATAAATCATTCAGATAATACATGCAATGTAATTTACCATCATGGAACATTGGTTTCAATAATTGAATCAATTAAATTCTGACCACATTGTAGGTTAAAACTTACCAGCAGGATCATGAGTCATGATCCTGTAATAAAAATAACGGTAAAAAACCTCCCCAATTTATTTAAGACCCTGGGTAAAGGTCCGCATGGGTAAAACCCAGCTTCCTGACTTTACATGAGGCAACCTTTTCAGGTGTTAGTAAAAAAAAAAGATAACTTTACTAATTAACATTTAACGTTGAAAAGAATCCTCAATGTCAGGTAGAAACATACTTGACAGTGCCTGAGAAACGTTTGTCCTTTTGTGGGTCATAATTCTTCAAACCGATTTGGAGTTCCACAGTTTCTAAGAATTTCCTTTTTTTATCTTGTGAGTTTTGAATAACTGAATTCACGCATTCGTACAATGTATCACGCGATACTTTGGACCTGTGGGTTAAATTGATCATCATACATTTTTACCACGTGTGCAATGAATGAATTTTTATTCGACTTTATCTATATTATATGCAACTCAGATTTCAGTAATAATTACTATTGATATAATATTAAATAAATAAAGCACAAAACAAATAAAGTTGTGAATACAGAAGACACCATGAGTATGGTGTCGATGTTGTACAATATTCAAGTATCGTAAGATTTGAAAACACGTTTATTTAACAAAAATATTAGTAAGTACATTTAAAGATTATTGTAAATGAAGTACTTTTAATAAGAAGAAAGCAAGTAAACGTCGGATTGTTGAAATATGGACAGATTAAATACTCACGTCATTTTTTATTGCTGGTGGAACTCGGAGAGAAGAGAACCGACCTACTACTCGACTGAAACCGGAAAGAAATGGATCGCCTAACCAAGCAGTGCTGTGACCATGGCCGCGATGTGTGCGCATGCGCGGTCGAGAACAGGACCGTGCATAGGCTAATGCTATGGTTGCAAAAATATAAATGCCTCTCAAGACGTTATTTTGAGTTATATGAAACTAATATTTCGTTTCAACAATTGTTTCATCATTCTTTCTTTAATTTCTCTATGCATTTTTAAAAAAATTATAAACTTGTTTTAAATAAATCGAACAAAGTATCATACGAACCCGTATTTACTAGATCAAGATACTTTACTAACTTGGTTAAACATAGACTACATAATATGTAATTTACCTTTATAGATAGTAACACGGATACCTATTTTGAAATATTTTGCATAGCAGTTTATGAAATTGACACAAGTGGCGCACCGAGTATTTAAATTCTTTTCTGCTTTATGTTTATGCTCAGATTCCAACAAAGTGGGTGTTTCAGGGTGTTCTTGTCATGTTTCGCGATAAACAAAACGAATAGACAAATTTACTATTTGAATTATTTCACAAATAATTCAATAATTTAACCATGAGAAAATTTAAACCTAAGAAATCGTCCAACGTATTTCTTTTATAATAACACAGTGGTTTTCGTAAACATTGTTTCGAGGTTAAGAATATAAATTCTTGTTGACCTATGTTTTGGAATTGCCTAAAAACATATTAATAAATTGAGTACGTGTATTATTTAAATATTTCTACGTTTTACCTCGTATGAAATTTGTCGAACTATAGCATAAAAAATATTTGCTATTATATCGAATTATTTTTAAAAATTGTCGTCTTAATTGTAGACATAGAAATGTGTCCAGCACTTTTAGAAAATGAAGAACGCTGTTTTGGTGGAATAACATTCTTTGCACAAAGTCACCCAGTTGAAGTTTGTGGTAGCAATGGTCTACCTCTTACACCGAATTCAATAACGATATATGGAAAGTCTCAGTTCTTGAAGACTATACACCATCCAAATTTATCAATTTATCTTGATATAATTAGAAGTAAACATGGTAAAAATCACATTTATTAATTTTATGATCTAATCAATCTGTGATTTAAATTAAATTAATTTCTTTATAGAAAGAATAGTGGTAGTTACAGAGTACAATGGAGATCCATTAAGCAATAAGGAAAACTTAGGAATAGATGATATTATAAAAATAACATTTCAATGCTTATTAGGTTTACAAAAAATGAATGCATTAGGTTTAGTGCATAGACATTTAAACCCTGAAAATATACTCATTAATAAAAGTGGAAATGTACAGTTATATAATTTTGGTCTGTACTATATGACAGATAATGGAAAAAATGTATCTTTTCCTATTGGGTATGTATACATAAAAAATGTATTAACTCAAGAATCAATGTGTGTTTCATTTCAATAATTGTTATTTACCTATGTTTATTTATAGGTATCCAAAATACACAGCACCTGAAGTATTTTTGAGTCCTGGTATTAGTAGTCCAAAAGTGGACTCCTGGTCTTTGGGTATAATTATTGCTGAATTATTATTAGGAAGACCAATTTGGCCAGGTGTAAAGTTATCTCAATGTTTGCGAAAAGTTCTTAGTTTAATACATTGCGAAACTTCCGTATTTGAACGCCTAGCGAGAGAAACTAATTGCTATAGCACTTACAAGGTTGTAATTTTCCTTATTACGATATTACAACTATTTATTAATTTTTACAGTAATACTAATCTAGTATTGTATCAGGAATTGCCTGATAATGTAATAGAATTTATAGATTCCTGTCTTCAAATTCATCCTTCGAAACGTAAAATACCAGAGGAATTGTTGAAACTGCCGATATTTGAAGAGTTTTTATTAAATAATGAAAATGAAAAAGAAGAAAATCTTTATAAGAATGTTATTGTTAGGAAAATGGACGAATTGTATTATTTATGGCAGCTGGCGGGCGGAGACATTACCGTGGAATTGAAAAAACAAGGATTGATCAGATCAAGACCACCTATTTTATCTATTCCAAAGTAATTATAAGAATATTATAAGTATCGCATTTCACAAAACTGAAGAATGGTCTAATAATTTCTCTTTTTAGTTTAGTTATACTTTTAGGTCAAATGTTTGGTCGTAGAGATAGCGCTGGTTTGCTTGATCTACGCGTAATCAAAGTTCCGCTCGATACACTGCGTCAACGATTATCTCACATTCCGTATATAGCAAATTATCCATGGTTAACAAATCAGTAAGTATAATGATGATAAATATAAAATTAACTTCTCTTCAAATGTTACTAATTGTTTACGAATTTCTTTACAGAATGCGTGTTCAATCGCAAGAAGATTTAATAGATGCTGCCTCTCAATTACCTTTAATCATAAGAGAGAGGGATACAGAATATCAATTTCATAGGATTGTTTTATATGATAGATTACTACAGGTAATTGTATTTGAAATAATTCAAGATTTTTATTATAGTAAAGATGGTACAATATAATTTTAGGTCTACCCAATAACCCGAGAAGCAATCATAGAAGAAGCCCACAAAGATATACCACCACCTGTTAGAGGATCTGTTTGGGCGGCTTTACTTGGTATTACTGGTGACATTCAGAAACGGTATGACATGATCGATAAGGAAACACCCACGCATACAGATCGGCAGGTAATGAAATAAAAATTTGTTTGTTATCTATATTGATACTTAAGGTTATTATTAATTTCACAGATAGAGGTAGACATACCGAGGTGTCATCAGTACAGCGAATTATTATCATCTGGGGCTGGTCATGAGAGATTACAGAGATTACTGAAAGCATGGGTTCGGAATAATCCGCATTACGTTTACTGGCAGGGATTAGATTCGCTAACAGCTCCGTTTCTCTATCTTAATTTTGACAATGAAGGTAATAAAGTGAATAGGGGAACTCCGGGAAAAATGTGGTTTACCCCATCTTGCTCAGTCATCAACCCGTCTTGCTCGGAGTTCCCCTACATTTATACACAATATGTTGTTTTCAAATTAAATAAATATTTTCATTTCAGCTAGGGCATTTGAATGTTTATCCGCATTTATTGCAAAATATCTTCATAAATTCTTTTTGAAAGACAACTCTGCCATTATACAGGAATATTTAGGAAAATTTTCACAAATTATAGCATTTCATGATCCACAGTTGGCTAATCATCTTAGATCGATTAACTTTGTACCGGAATTGTTTGCTATACCGTGGTTTTTAACAATGTTTTCGCGTAAGTTTATAGTACTTTGTTAACATTATCTAAAGAATTAGGAAAAGTATTATTTACTAATATATGTATATTTTTAGATGTATTCCCACTTCACAAAATACTCCATTTATGGGATAAACTTCTGCTAGGCGATTCCTCGTTTCCACTTTTAGTCGGCTTAGCAATATTAAAACAGTTGCGCGATTCACTTTTAACTTCGGGATTCAACGAATGTATTCTTTTATTCTCGGATCTTCCTGAAATTGATATAGAATTATGTGTTAAAGATTCTATGACGATGTATCAGAATACACCAGCCAGCATTACATATAGAAAACATCAATTTCACCAACCAAAGGTATAATAAAAACACATTTCGAATGTACCATACTACATATTACATAATTTTTTTAAAAGTTTAAATATAGGTGTATTGCATTGTAGGATGTAGATTGGCCGGAATCGGAACCAGGAACTGAAAAAGTGCCGAGAATTAGCGTAGACGATTTTTTACATTTATTAGATACTACTTCTGAGAGATTAATAGTCGTCGATATACGTAATAATATACAGTAAGTATCCTATTCCTACAGATTAATTTATAACTTACTAATTATTAATACTTTAGTCGTAATCATTCTCGTTCTATAGATTTGAAAGAAGCGCTGTGGCGGGAAGTATCAACATTCCATTCACAAATGTACAACTATCCCAAACTCAAATTGAAACTCTTGGACCACATGCCAAACCACTTGCAGAAAATAAAGATAGTATTGTCGTAGTTATTGGCCCTAATGATCAAAATAATGCCTTGGTAAAAATCATACAATTCAATTAGCAATGATCCGTGAACAGTATTGAAATTAAAATGTCTTCTATAGTTTGCAGATTTTCTTGTGAAACGTGGAGTTATAGGAGTGTGTACCTTACGAGGAGAAATTCATGCGTTGCGATCAAAGTCTTCAAATGTTAAAGTAGTTGCGCGTTAAAAGTAACATTTAATTATTACAGATATGTAGAAGTTTACGTTTGTACATGTACATATATATATATATATAAATATTAATTTTATTGTGTTACTTGTATATCTATACATTTTTACAAAGTTATAAATATTGTAAATGATTATTATGTCATTTTGTTATTAATTATTATGACACAACAATTCCGTTATAAATAAGTGGTTGTAAGCACGAGGCATGCCTTATAAAACAGAAACTGTGACTTTGTTACGCTACATAAAGGATATTATTCTATAACACCTACATCTACCCTAACTGGTAGTCATAGAAACTGAGTCAAAACATTCGAACTTTAATGCACATTTGCACATGCTTCACTTACGTTTAACCATTAGTCTCAGTTAAAAGGGCTAAGCATGATTTTGTAAATACATTTAAATCATCTTGCGAGCATGGAGAATAATATTTCTCCGAATCTTCAAAAATCTATAAAAAAGTATTTAAAGAAACAGTTTGAAACTAGTGTACAAAAATCATTGGAGGAAGGTGAAGACTGTACCGATATAGCACAAAGGATAATACAATCGAAGGAAATGTCTGTTTTGTTAAATTCTATAAGAGCTACAATTTTCGAACAATCTAATTCAAGATCTGCGTCGACTGTGATTTCTGAAACTCGACCTTTGTCATCCCTTTCATGCCTTAGCGATCAAACAAGTGAAGATTGGAACTCGCCTCTAAATAATGATGAATATTATAGTATTATTGTTGATAAAATTAATCATGATAAACCTGCGCATGTTAGGTTAGCCGGTTACGAAGTTTTATTAAAAAATGATCTGTCAAATTTAAACAATAGCCCGGTGTGGGATTCGCTTAAAAAAGCTTTACTAGATAGTCT